TGGAAAACAGTATATTCCAGAGTTATCTCAAAAGATTAAAAATGGAACTGCTATTATGACCCAGCAATTCTACTTCTGGGAATATATCCAAAGAAGCCCAAAACACGAAACTGAAAGAATATATGCACCCCTGTGTTCAATGCAGTGTTATTTATAATAGCCAAGATTTGGAAGCTGCACAAATGTCCATCAGTAGATGAGTGGATAAAAAAGCTATGTACATTTACACAGTGGAATACTACTTGGCCTAAAGAAGTACACCTTACCTTTTGTGATAATATTCGATAGTGGAAGGGGTGACAAAGGAAGAGGAAGATTAAAACAGGAGCAAATGAAATTCCAAATAAGCAGGAAAAAAAAGGAATAATAAAGAATACAAATTAACCTGGACTTAGATTTCCCATAAAAAGTGCTAAAAGACAAATAAAGCAATGTCCACATGTTGTCATTCATATATAAAAGCAACAAAAAGTAAATAAAAACTCAAAAGGACAGGAGTTCTGAGTCCTTCCTTGGGGGAAAAATGGTGATAACATGCAGCTTATCAAGGGGTAATCAAAATAACAATAAAGGAATGCCGAAAATGGGGTTAAGTAATTGGAAAGAATTTGATTCATTTAAATGTGGAACTGAGGCTGTAAGACTTACAGTTATAGAACAGAATGCAAATGTTTAAAAACTGAAAATGTAGCCCTGGCCGGTTTGGCTCAGCGGTTAGAGCGTCGGCCTGCGGTCTGGAGAGACCCGGGTTCGGTTCCCGCTAAGGGCGTGTACCTCGGTTGCAGTTTGTCCCCAGCCCTGGTCGGTCGTGCGGTGGCAGCCACTAGATGTGTTCCTTTCACATCGATGTTTCTCTCTCTCTCTCTCTGTTCTTCTCTCTTCCTCCTACTCTACCTGAACAAAAAGATGAGAAAATGTCCTCGGGTGAGGATAAAAAATAAATAAATTAATTAAAAAAACTGAAAATGTAAAAATAAAATAAAAATATAACTACCCCAAATCAAGAGGCAGATTGAAACACTAAGTGCTAATTTTCTTTTTTTGACCAATATAAAAGTTTATTTAACAAAAATTCAATGTGAAAATGGACACGATTCTATTTTTATATTGTACTAAAACAGGTGCTGTGGAGAGGGGACATGTGGAAGCAGTTGATTTCTCTGGTGAATACAGCCATTCTTTATACTCGTTCCAAGGCTTCTAACATGATGATGCTATTGGAATAACCATTCCAATGTTATTCTGTTGCCCACTAGTTGCCATCTCCACACATTCATCTATCACAAGATTCATAAAGGGATCAAATCCCCGCAATATTCGTTGGACATGTCTGCCACCATTTAATTTCAATGACATCTTGTTCATAAATTTTTTTAACTCGGGAGGGTGAGCTTTCCTCATTATGTCTAAGAGAACTCGAAAACCCTAATTTTCTTTTTGCGTGTGAAAGATTTTTTTTAAATTGATTTTTAGGGGGGGGGATATCTATATGACAGAAAAACATAGATTGGTTGCCTCCTGCACTTCCTCTACCAGGGATGGAGCCCCCAATCCAGGCATGTACCCTTGACTGGGAATTGAACCCGAGAACCTTTGTTCCAAAGGCTGCTGATCTAACTGCTGAGCCATACCAACCAGGGTTAGATTTACAGTTTTTAAAACATAATTAGCTATCACATAATCCCTAATCATCTACTAACATGGCATTTGGTTTAAACATGAAAAACTGAGTTTACATGCCATAAATAGGACACCTGTTATAAAGGTAAAAAAAGATGCCAACACTTTATTTAAACCAAAGGAGAATTTTGATATATGCATATTCCATTTCAGCTTTTTTATCAGGCAAGTTGTTATGTGAACTCTGCACTGCAGCTTCACTGCATCATGTGACAAAGAAAATGATCAAGGTTTTAAATTTTCTTAATGCTCATGACCATTATTAATTTATGGAATAGTGGGAAGAAGAATAGTTGCTGAGTATGTAGATCTGGTTTATGTTACATAATTCAGAGAACTGTCTTATGGAAACTGTTGAATAGATATATTGAGTTGCTTTATTAGATCAAGAACTTTTTATAATTAAAGAGCTTCCAGAACTTCAACTCATTAAGACCGAAAAAGTTTATAATGATGATGTGAGAAGATTGCTAACCCTGTAGAACCTGAAAGTAGGAAGGAGTCCACCTGGTTTGATTAAATATAGATATACCTACTCAATCTAAAATTTCTATTTGAGAACATGGTAAGAAAAGACTAGACTGGATGCTCTGTGCTCAAAGGGAATTAAAGATTTAAAATAACTGTAGAATGTCTTCGTGAAAATAATATTACATTTCAGAAGATATTTCACAAATTATAATAAATAAAAATAATGCTCTTAGTTGTTGGCAAAATAAATATTTGTTGAATGTCCACCAAGAATAACAGATCCCAGGTACCCAAAACGAGACTACTATTTTCAGAACTGTTTTATTTGTTTATTATTATTATTTTTTTATCCTCACCCGAGGACATTTTTCCATTTTTTGTTCAGATAGAGCAGGAGGGAGAGAGAGGAAGAGAGAGAGAGAGAAACATGGATGTGAAGGGACACATCAAGTGGCTGCCACCCTCACGACCAACCAGGGCAGGGGACAAACTGCAACCGAGGTACATGCCCTTAGCGGGAACCGAACCCGGGTCTCTCTGGACCGCAGGCCGATGCTCCAACCGCTGAGCCAAACCGGCCAGGGCCAGAACTATTTTAAATAGCCAAACTGTGAGAAACTTATAGATTTACCTGGCAATATAAAAAAGCATTCTTTTGATGAAGTTGCTAAAATAGAAGTTAAGAGGTAGTACCTATTATCAGAGATATCAACTGGAATCTATTCTTGTATTTGTTTCTGGTTGAATATACTACACGAGACTAAAAAATAATTCAAGCCCGGCTGGTGTGGCTCAGTGGTTGAGCATCGACCCATGCACCGAGACATCGCTGGTTTGGTTCCTGGTGGGGGCACATGCCCAGGTTGTGGGCCAAATCCCCAGTGGGGGGCATGCGGGAGGCGGCCAATCAATGTTCTCTGTCATAGATGTTTCTATCTCTCCTCCCTCTCCCTTTTTCTCTCTATAATAAAGAAAATAATTTTTTAAAAATAATAATAATTCAGCCCTGGTTGGCTTTGCTCAATGGTTAGAGCATCGGCCAGTGGACCAAAAATGTCTGGGTTCAATTCCAGTCAAAAGCACATACCTTGGTTGCAGTTAGTCCTTGATCCCCAAGGGTCGTGCACCTGGCAACCAATTGATGTGTCTCTCTCACATGTTTCTCTCTCTCTTCCTCTCTCTCTTATCTGAAAATAAATGCAAAAATATCCTCAGGTGAGGATAAACAAAATAATTATTAAATTTTCTTTATTAAGTTGACCAAAACTAATCACTCCATACTTTATACAAAATGGCACTTGTATAAATAGTTAATACTCCTATAAAAATTCCATTCACCCAAAGTTGGCTAGATGCATTATAGTACACACTTGCTGAAACTATGAGTTGTTTGCAAGTTGGGTCCATGCTGTTATAAAAATTCCATTCACCCAAACTTGGTTATAATGGTTGCATGTGTATAAGTGCTGAAACTGTGAGTTGTTTCTAAGTTAGTTCATGATCTGGGGTCTAATTACTATTCATTGAAATAGAGACAATTGTAACTGTTGTTAAAAATACCTTTCCATCATAATATATTGTCATGATTCACAGTCAATATAAATAATATAACATAAATAATGCCAAAATTTAAACATGTGCTCTTTGCAAATTAGACTTTCAAATATAAGATAGTTTGAAATAGTATATAAATATTCCTAAAAATTCCCACTATTAAAATATGCTACCAAGACATTAACCAAAAGGAAATAACATTTTGTAAAATAAAATAAAATAGAAGATGATCAAGAGAAAAATTTTTTTAGTTTTTGAACTGTTTTTCTTATACACTGGCAGAAGAGATAACATCTTTCCTGTACGTAATCCTCTCAATGGAAGCATTTATTTGACAGTTATAAAGGGGTAGGGTTTGCTATACAGAGGAATCAATAACAACCTTGTAAACCCTACAGCAGTGCACATAAATATGCTATAGGAGACATTAACACTAGACTGAAGGAAATAATTATATTTTCAATAAACATGATCCTATTAGATAACCAATTTTTTTTTACACATTTTACCAGCTGTTTCACAAATTAGGTCATGAGTGGCAGAAGCTGTTATATCAAAACCATATATTACATGCTTATGAGACGCTTTTAATTTTTCATAGGTATCTACTTATTTGTGATAAACGACATTTAACTCATATTAAATAAAAACAAGGTATTTCATGGGGTGATTACTTCAGGAGGACTTTTAGACCAGTCTTATCTTGAAAATAAATTCTTAACCAATTATTTTTCTGTCAGAAGACTTAATAATTCAAATTACATGCTGTCCTTATTCCCAGATTTAAGAGATTTGTCACGATCAATGTTTTTGAAATATTAAATTAAAAGGTTTCATGGTAATTACTAGGGAATAAATAGCAATTAGAATAAATAGCAAATAGCAATTTTTTAGGTAAATAAGCTCAAATTGTTAGTAGTGAATATTTATCCTACTAATATTTTCCCATACAAGGCACGTATCATTCACAAGTAGCCTAAAAATATAAAATGTAAATCTGAAGAATTCAAAAGATCTTAAGAAACTGATTTAATACAGACTTTGATACTTGATTAAGAAATATCTATGTATAATGTATTTAAAAAGAGGTAGACTTGAAGATAAGTAATACAAATTGTGTTACCAGAGAATGATCATATCACCGTTCTGTATTTTTAATAGTGAACATATGCTTTGAGATGGGTAAATAATTTGCAGGATAAGTAAAAGACAATTATTAAAAAATTTACATCAGCTAACAACTATAATTTATAGTGTAAATATATACCATAAATTTGAATTAGGTAAATACTCACTGCTATATAATAAACTCTTGCTTTTTCTACCAAATTCCAGTTTTTCTCCATATCAAGATGTTTTTCTTTTTTATAACAATTGGCAGCAGCAAGATTAGCTACAAGGGACCTAAAACAACAAAAAGCAAATAGGTTTTTTTTCTCATATATAAATAGTTCATTCTTTTTATTGCAAACTTGTTATGTATTTCTATACAAATAATTAACAACATTTTTGAAAATTTCATTTTATATTTCCTTCAAAACTGGTGAATATTGATTTTAATAAATGTAAATAAAATCAATTTTGTTTTGAGAATTCTTGAAATTTCTGTGTTGCCTATGAGATTAACAGAGATGTTAGTTCTAAATACCACCTGGTATTTTGAGAAACTGCCCTTAAAGTTTCCTTTAATATTTAAATGATAAGATTATCTACTTTTTACATTTTAAAAATTCAACATGCAGTTAAGAAATAAAGCTGCAATGCCATTATGCATAAAAAATATTCAAATACAAACTTCAGTTTTTAAGCATCAATATATTATATATTTATTCTTTAACCTAATGCTTTAAAAGCCAAGTATGGGATTAATTTTACAAAACACACATATAGAGACTATATTTACTATGTGAAATTAATTTGCAAAGCATTACATGTTAAGGACTGGAATAAATTTAAATCAGTTTCTACAGTTGAAAACTACCTGCCCTAGTCCAGTTTTGCAGCTGAAAAATCTAAGCAGGATACTACATTTAAAATCTTGCTAGAAGTGCCACATAGAGCTTCTATTATTGCTCAACAATTCAACTTAAAAAAAATTATTTGCATTACATACAAATTAATAAAAATATTTTTCCTACTCAAAATTTAGAAAATAACGAAAATTTTTCTCTTTTGTAATCAATGGTAGCAGTTATGGTGAAAAACAAAACAAAACAGGAAAACAATAACACGTATCATCTTATCACATAAGATTGTGGTAATATGACTGGCTCCTCTGTTAAAAAAAGAATAAATCAATTCTCTTCCAAAACATGTTTCTGTTCATCCATATGCCAGTTGATTACTGAGGACACATCTGTTTATGTTCAACTAAATGAATGAAATAAGAGTAATATGCATCAGTATATTTATATGCAAATAACTATATTACAAAGCCAGAATAATTAGTCTTGATTTATAAAAAAATATTGAAGTAATCATGAATTTAGCAAAATTTTGACAAACATGGTTACTAAACAAAAGCAAACACTTGTGGTATCAGCTATTAAATTCTATTTTGATAAGAACACTACTCTTGCCCTGGCCAGTTTGGCTCAGCGGTGAGAGCTCTGACCCCAGGATCAAAGAGCTGGGGGTTCAATTTCAGTCAAGGGCATGCACCTCAGTTGTGGTTCAATCCCTGGCCCCCCGGTTGGGATCGTGTGAGAGGCAACCAGTCGATGTGTTTCTCTCACATCGATGGGAGATCTAATATTATCATATCTACTCTTTAGCATACAAAAATAATTTATCTATTTTACTCTAGACTGAGTGGTATCAGAGGCAAAATTTGACCCATTTCTCTCTAATGGGAAAACTTTACACCTACATATTGGTGTTGGTTTTAGAAAAACTAAAAAGGTGAAAGGTCTAAATAAGTATATTTAAAATATGTTTGGAAAATAGATGGTTTATTTATTGAAACCTCAAAATCATGACTTTTTTTTTTAATCATGACGTTTTATACACAAAAAATAAAGTTGCAAGAAAGGTTTGAAAGGCACTGTATTTTTAAAAGTTATATCTCAGTTATTTAATGACTACTGCCCAGAATTGTGTTAGATTCTTAACATACATATTTGCTGGAGGTCAAAGAGTGAGCAAAAATAAAAGGAGTTAAGAAAGGGGAATTGAACAAGGTAAGAGAGAGAAAGGAAGAAAAAGAGGCAAATGAGAAAGGAAGGAAAAGAAGGGAGACAGGAAATGAAAGAGAACAGACTAAATACTTCTAACTATAAGGAATGTAAAATATCTAGTGAGTCACTATTTAAAAAGAGATCCTCTTTGGTGATTCTAACAATATAATAGTTAGAAAAGTTATCTTGTTTTTCCCTTGCAAAGAAGAATAAGCCTATGCTGATGAGCAATATGGTAATAATGCTTTTAGCAATATATGACTATACTGAAGGAAAACCTACATGTAGCTGCAAAATATAACCAAGGCATCAAAGACCCTGAGGGATATATTCAAAGTTCATATAAAGAAGAATTTTTAATAAGTAGAATTTTATAGAAATGCAATGGGTTGTTTCTTGAGTGACATATTACCCATGACTGAAGTTGTTTAATATGGGTGAATGACTATTTGCCAGAAATGTTTGAGATGACTTAATTCATATGAGACTAGATATAACATAGTATTTTATTTATTTATTTATTTATTTATTTTTAATACGTTTTTATTGATTTTTTTAGGGAGAGAAGGAGAGATAGAAACATCAATGCTGCCTCCTGCACACCCCCAACTGGGGATTGAGCCCACAACCTGAGCATGTGCCCTGATCGGGAATTGAACCAGGACCTCTCAGTCCACTGGACGATGCTCAATCCACTGAGCCACACCAGCTGAACAAGATAGTATTTTACATATTAGAAAATACACGTAAATATGTATATGTATGTGTGTATTTCAATATTCCAATCTCAGGATATGGTGAAAGAACATTTCTTTTTACTAGTCCCAGTTTGGCAAAAAACTAGCTATAAGACATTGAATAAAATGTTTTCCTTTTCTGATCCTAATTATAAGATGTACACACTAGCCGAGCTGGTGTGGCTCAGTGGACTGAGATAACCCATGAACTGAGACGCCCTGGTTTGATTCCAGGTTAGGGCACATGTCCAAATTGTGGGCTTGATCCCCAGCTGGGGGGCATGCAGGAGGCAGCCGATCAATGTTTCTCTCTCACATCAATGTTTGTATCTGTCTCCCTTCCTTTCTCTCTAAAAAAATCAATAAAAATAGCCCTGGCCATTTTGGCTCAGTGGCCCTCTAACCAGAGAGCCCCGGGTTTGGTTTCCACTAAGGGCATGTACCTTGGTTGCAGTTTGTCCCCAGCCCCGGTTGGGGTCGTGTGGGTGGCAACCACTCAATGTGTCTCCCTCTGTCTTCTTCTCTCTCTCCCTCCCACTCTATCTGAAAATAAATGCAAAAATGTTCTCGAGTGAGGATAAAAAATAAAAAAAATCAATACAAATATATTTTTTAAAAATCAAAGAAGTAGACACTAGACCAATCTAAAACAATTTCACTCCTTTATACCTCATAAAGACAACAGCAGGTTCAACAAAGTCAATTTTTTTTTAAAAAAGGAAAAATAGCCCTGGCTGGTTTTTCTCAGTGGTTAGAGCACTGGCCTGCAGTCCAGATAGACCCGGGTTCGGTTCCCGCTTGGGGCATGTACCTTGGTTGCAGTTTGTCCCTGGCCCTGGTTGGGTCGTGCGGGTGGCAGCCACTTGATGTGTCTCTCTCACATTGATGTTTTTCTCTCTTTTTCTCTCTCTCCCTCCCACTCTATCTGAACAAAAAATGGAAAAATGTCCTTGGGGGAGGATAAAAAAATAAATAAATGAAAAGGAAAAATGATATAAGGAAGAGTTTATTAAACATGAAAAGCAATTATATACATGAGACCTAAATTCCAAAATTAGATTGAAATTCGGATTTTACCAAATTTAAATAGCCAATTAGTAAAAGCTTCCCTTGGGATTGCACTGACCTGTTGCCACCAGTGATGCATGCAGCACAAGTCCCTGTTGGCTGCTCATTCTGCTCATAGTAATGAGCATCCACATGGGCTTCAGCAGTTTTTTTCTTCAGGATCTCCCCAAATTTATCAATCCCAATACATCCAAAAAATGTTGCTGCTTTGTGTGGCTTCTGAATCATCCACTGAAAAATACAAAAATAAGTAATTTTAGTGGGTCAGAAAATGGTACACCATAGTTCAGTATTCTGTTGTAGGCAATGGCATAAAAGGAATACTTGACTAAAAAAGCTGTGGCTGTTATGAATGGAACTGCAATCCTGTACTACCATTTATGATAACAAATTTGATATAACAATCACATAAAACCTTATTATACTAGTTTTAGGGAGAAAAATAGAGCACAGTGGTTAGGAACTCATAATCTAAAGTCATATAGACCTTAGGTCAATGTTGGTTTGATATAGAAAAATAATAGTGATTCCCAACAGAAGTAGTATAGCAATGTCATTAAAAGATCAGCATCTATACTGAAGACTTTCTCAGTTCAAATCTTGCCTCTGCCATTTAGCTGTATGAGGAAGAACATGTTACTTAGTGTTTCTATGCCTCATTTTCCTCATCTGTAAATTTAAAAAAATTATAAATACACCTTATAAGGTTATTGAGATTTAAATTAAATACTTTAAGCCAGACGTAGGAAAAGTATAAATATAACAACTGAGAGTATGTGTTGTTCTATACATTACTGTTATTCATGTAGAAAGCTTGGTTAAATTATGAACCCATGTCTGTTTTATATAGTAAAAAACAAAAACAATCAATGAAAAATTTTACTATGATTATTTAAATAACAATATGCCATCAAAATAACAGAAAACTTCATTCAGTGAAAGTGAAGTCATTATAATATAATTCAGCCTAATTATAATAAAAATTTACATGCTCAAACTATAGTCTGAAAAAGGGGCTATATAAACTCACTACCAGGCTTACATGTGAGTTATAACACTTTCATAATCAAGATTTAAATACATTGCAATGTTTTCATTACAAATAAATATTACTTAAACCTGTAACAAAAAAATGGACAAATAATAGAAATATTCCACAGGTTTACATGTAATTGCACTGTTAAATATTTAATCACAGGAAACTGGCTAACATTGGTTATTTTTTATATCAGTATATTTAGGACACTGACCAAATATGAGACCTTTACTCTTGATCATTGATTTTCATTCAAAAGTTAGTCAATTTAAAATAAGAGTTTAGGTGGGAAGGAGAGTGTCAATGGAAGAAAAAGGAGGGACATCTGTAATAACAAAAAATAATTAATTAAAAAAATAAAATACAATAAAAGTTTAGTAAGCCAAAGCAGACACACAAGAGAAATAGAAGCCATGTTCACTACTTCAAAGCACTTAAACTAGCTAAGTAAAGATGTTATAATCAAGAAAGTTGAAAGATTAAAAAATCATTTTTCTGAAAGTTTGTAAATTAATTTGCTAATTGTTTTGTTAAAATTTTGGTACATCTCTAACATTATCTTAAACACAATGTATTATCAACACCTAACCAATCTGTTTCTTACCATTCTGACATCCAGTCAATAAACATTTAATGCATGTCTTCTAGAGAAAAATGACAGTGACCCTAGTACAAAGACACAACCACAACATTTTCAGATTCTCCAGAAGAGATTCAACCTTGTTCAAAACCTCCAGTTATGTTCTTTCTTTTAGCTAAAACAAATTTCTCAGCCTCTCTTTGTTTATATACGTACAGTACATCCTTAAACACCTATCTTTAACCTCTTCCCTAGCCCTAAGGGAGTAGAAGGGTCCAGAATTACCCTTGTGTTGTGCATAGCCTAAAAAACAAAACTAAAGGGAAACAACTACAGAATTTTCAGACATTTAACAGAGCAGGACTGTGATCTCTGAGAGAAAACAAGGTGAGTCCTGACATCATGCAGGCTCTCTGCCAGGAGGCAATTTCCAGACTATGGTGCAGGGAAAAAGAAGCCAAACAGAGCCTGGCATTCTCAGTGAAATGAGGGAACAGAAATAAAGTGTTCAAGAGAGCCAGAAGAGTAGAAAATGTGAAAAAGAGTCTCAAAGAGGAATGAGCTGAAATCTATATAGAGTAACTCTTGAGGCTTTGGCAGGATACCAATCTGTGCATGCTTAAGGAATACATGAAATCATAAGGAATCTATATAAATGCTCTAGGATTAAAAAGTGACTTTATCAAAATCTCAGGATTAAAGATCAATGTACACAAATCTATTGTAATTCTATATACTATCAAGGAACAGTTAAAAATTAAAATTAGGAAAACAATGTTTATAATAGCATCAAAAAATGAAACATAACAGGATAAATGTAAGAAATCATGTGCAAAGACCTATACATAGAACACTACAGAAATTTGCTTTAAAAATTAAACTATATAAAGCTATACTATGTGCATGAATTAGAAAACTCAATATTCTTAAGATAGCAATTCTCCCCTAACTGACTCATAGATTCACTGCAACTCTAATCAAAATCCTCAACAGGATTTCTGAAGATACCAAAAAGCTGATTTTACAATAAACAGTAAAAGGAAAAGGAAATAGCCCTGGCCAGTTTGGCTCAGTGGTTAGAGCATCAGCCTGTGGTCCAGAGGGACCTGGGTTCGTTCCCGCTAAGGGCATGTACCTTGGTTGCAGTTTGTCCCTGGCCCTGGTTGGTCGTGTGGGTGGCAGCCACTCGATGTGTCCCTTTCACGTCGATGTTTCTCTCTCTCTCTCTGTTCCTCTCTCTCCCTCCCACTCTACCTGAACAAAAAATGGAAAAATGTCCTTGGGTGAGGATTAAAAAAAAAGGAAAAGGAAAAGGAAATAGAATAACCGAAGGTTAAGGAGGTATGTCAATGTTATGGAAACCAACATTGCTAAATCCCCATTCCTTCAAATATAATGTTGATAATACAACCTATGATCTTGGAAGCATGTTTTAAGAATCAGAAATAGACTAACAAGAAATGCACGGTAATTCATTAAATGATACATACCTATTATTGTAGTTGGATCACTTTTATACAGAGAATGAAAGGGCTCTCACTATATTGTAAATAACTACACCTAACTGAAGAACAAGAAAACCACAGCTATAATTGATAATTTTAAATAAATACATGGATATAGTTGAATTCATTTTTTAAAGCAATAGTAAAAAGTCAAAACAACACCAGGAAACAGCAGAAGGGATATTAATTACAGCTGAAGAAGATCAGAAAAGACTTCCAGAGATGGGCAACATTATCAACTAGTCTCTGAAGGATGGATGTAATTTTCAAAAATGGCTATGAACTGGAAGTAGAGGCATAGCACAGAGCACATGCTTCCTTTCATGTCTTGGGAATTTTACCATGGTGTTCCTAAAGTAAAAGAAATTCTATTTATTTATCAGTTAATTCCAAACAACTTAATAAGTATCTATTTCCTAAAAATCGAGCACCTGTTGTGTACTGTAAACTTCTCAAAACTTGGAATCAGACTGGTCAGCACCACTCTCATTGCTGTGTCACACTGATTTTTGTGCAATACTTGTTTTTTTGTCTATCACCTAAAACACTAAAACCCCAGTTTTCCAAAGTATATGATACCACTAAAATGAAAGTAGCAATGTAATATTAAAACAGAAATATCTGGAACTAGTAGTTCATGCTGTATCTAATAGATGTCATCTGTTTCCCTAGAAAATTAAAAATAACCTGCAGACTTAATATGGGTTTGCTAAAGCACCCAAGGGGTCTTAGCACACACTTTGGGAAATAAGGGGCTATGGAGTTAACAAAAAAGAGAAATAAAGGACTGTATAATGACATAATTGGGGGGGGGGGGGGAGAGACTAATGTGCAAAGTAGACCTAGACCAGATCATTAAATGCCACTTTTAGAATTTAGTCAGTATTCAGTAAGTAGAAGGGTGCAAATGAGGGTTTTGAGCAAAGGAGTCAGATTATAAGAGATGATGCCTCATTAAGGAACCAGGAATAGAAAATTTATAACTGAATTTAAATGGAGGCTAAATAAATGACATATTAAGCTTCATATTAAGCATATTTAACATATGGAAAGATTTCTATTAATATTAACTTCATCTTCCTGGTGAATTTCCTCTTTGTCACCTAAATGCAATATTTAGAACATTATAATTGGCAATGATGCTCAAGAGCCAGTCACTTCTAAAGCAATGTTATATACTTTAATTCAATTAATAATAGAATGATGAAGAATGGTACCTAGATGTTAAAATGATAGCAAGATAAGCAAAACATAAGACATTTTATTTTATTTTTTCACCATATGTTTATTTAAACATAAGACATTTTATATCAGAAACCCAATGAGGCATTTCAGAAAAACTAGAGCACAGCTAAAATAAATTAAATGTCAAAACTGGGTAATAACAGCAACAGATTGCAAAGGGTGGTGAGGAAACCAAAAGTGAAGTAGTTGCTTAGGCAAATAGCATATATCACATAGCTTAAAGGATTGGTTCTCTCAGAGGATTGCTATGCTACCAAGTGAGACAAGGGTGAAACACAACATTTTTATAAATATTATTAAGAATCCATTCTCCCTCAATACCCAGTATGCTAGTCTCCTTTCTTGCTCCATTTCCCCTGTTGGCAAGCATACTATTAATAAAAATTGATTCCCAATAATCCTACTATTATCCCAACAATGACTTTTTTGTTATTTTTATTGTTAAATATCTGTTATTTTGGGAAACTGGCCTTGTAGGGAAAAAAAGATGAACTTTAGCCTCGGGCACATAGTTCATCTATACCTGTGATAGTAAATTACACACTCTATCAGAGATTATATTTCTTGCAAAATTATTATGAGAACTGATTAAGATATTATAAGCAAAGGCCTGTTAAAGAGTACTGAGGATGATGATAATAAAAGGGCATTGAGACATAAAATAATTTTTAATCTAACTTCATTCAACTCTTGCATAAATATTTTTGATCACCTACCATTTGTTGGGCATCATTGTCGTAAAAAGTAGGTAAAGCAGCATTTCTCTCTCTCTTTTGTAGGCTTCTTTTCTTCTGCTCTTTTAGTGTTCCACAGACCTGGATCCCAGGATTACCTGCTCTTCTTACCCTACACAATTTTTATGGAT